CATTATTGCTGAGTATAAAGTGATCAAACTGCATTCAGGATGTGAGATTAATCAATGTATAACAGTGAATATTGAGTACTTGTTGCTATAATGGACAGGGAGAGGGTGTGAAAGACGTTTACTGTTCATTAGAGTTTAGCATTGATTCAATTTTGTGTGACTATCATTTATGTAGGACAGAGGGTTAGGAAGGGAGGAAGCTGTCGTTATCAATTCCCGATCTTGTTTGTGGCTTGTACTACATGTTTATAACAAATATCAGGTGCTTATGGATCAAGGGCGCTGGTGACAAATTTTGAAGGACAAGAAAAATTTAGAGTAACAATTAAAGTTCTCATTATACATGTAGTATCATTCAAACAGTGATTTGGTACATATATTAATGATCATCATACATGTCAATGCTGCCATCAATGCTGTGCGCATTACATATATGTAAAAGCTTGCCAGCTGATGTTGTGCATAATGCTGCCATCAATGCTGTGCGCATTATTAAGTTAATGCCTGCCGGCTGATGTTGCGCATTTGAATGATGCTGCCATCAATGCTGTACGCATATTAAATGCTTGCCAGCTGATGTTGCGCATCTTTTGTTGATGATTGTTGTAAATATGTGCATGTTCACATTAACAAAAAAATATTGTTGTAAGTACATATGTACTATAATGGAGTTACAAGGAATACAAAAGTTCCATGTGATTGGTAATAAAGTTTGTTCACCATTACTGTTTGTACTATTGTTTATTATTAGCCTGTGTGTTTACATTGCTTGCATTTGATGTGTTTATGTTACTATGCTTTACAGGTAATGACAGCTGGAAAGGATTTGATGATTCAGCAATATTTTCATTGCTTGATATTGTAATGTGCAATAATAATTAAAGGCAGTTCTGGATTTCGATTGTTGTAACTAAATTTATTTCATTATTAAATGGAACTTAATGTTTTATTGTAGGTCCTTGATGAGTACTTTTATCACACTGCAGGAGGTGCCTGCATAGGTTTTACATTACTGTAGTCTAAGGAATGGAATATGTAGTAAGATTAAATATTGTGAGATTCCAAAGTATCTTATGTATTTTGTTATAGGGTATGATTCAAGGTTACATCTATATTCATTTGATGGGTATGTCATTATAAGCATGGCCACAGTAAGTACTCTCACTATAAGTTATTGTTTGCCAGCGTATTTTTCATTTATGATTGTTAGTTTA